TAATTTTTCTTTGATTTAATAATATAATTTTTTATAAAGATAATAATCAATTATTTTGTTAAAACTTAATGATTATCCTAATTATATTTTAGATTTTTTTATATTTAAAATGAAACGTTTATCCTTTGTTTGATTATGTTTATCTGCAGTTAGTTACACGAATTCAAACATGAAGCTTTAATAAGCTGTATTTACGCACAATTTACTTGTAATCTTGAATTTTATGTAATATACATTCATAAATAGCATTTCATGCATAAAAAATGATTTTTTAAGAGTTCTTGTCAAATATTTTAGAAAAATAATATATATATAGTAACAATATTTTCCTCTCGCTTGCACATTCCACCCATTCTACATAAAATTTTGTACAATTTAGGTCCCTCGTTTTGAGATTGCTTGCATTTTGGTTACACTTTTTAGATCACGTCATCCAAAAGCTTAACTGAGTCGTTAGCTTTAACCTTTTTTCGTTTTTTTTTTAGTTACGCATTTGAGAATGTTTTTGTTACCACATATCGATTCATTAAAGTATTCTAAATAATTCATTGAACAATACAGAGGTGAATGATCGTGTAAGAAGCGTAATAAGATACCTGAACATTTGATCTTTTTTAATTCCATGTTCACCCATGAATTACGCTTTAGAAGAAAATTGATTCGGTGTATTTCAGTGCACCTCATTAGTGTAGACATTCAATTATGATTGATCCAATGGTTGAGATCCCGTCTTACGCTTTTCACCATAACTTCTCTCTCTTCTAACCGGAACCCAACCCACAATACTGAAGTGTCATATTCAACTTCAAATTCTTCATATGATGAAGCAAATGTGGATGTCATTTTCTTGATGCAAAAAGGACTTAAATTATGATCAAGAATATAAGTAAACATTGGTGAAGAGTGCACCATGCATACCAAGTGGAAGGTGATAACGTATTTAAGATGGTGTTTGTTGCTATCATTTACATTAAAGTTATACTTTCATTCGATTTTTAAATCAAGTCTCTCATGATCCTAATGCGGGAATCATCGTATGCCAAATGGGTCGTTTTGTTACGAGCCATAATTGACATTTAGGTATATATATTTATATTAGAAATGCTTGATAACAACCCACAACGTATGCTGGTCATACTGTTATTATTAAATACGCCTAAAAGATAAGGATCTGTTGCTGACTTGGAAATACTATCGTCCATATACAAGGTAGCCAGTTTTATTGACTTGATGAGTGAAGAACAGTCTTAAGCACGGACCACATATTGAGCTCTCACATCACTCCATTAAGACAATATCGTGAGACGAAGCTATGATCCCAAACGGTCCTAAACTGTTAAAAAGTTCATTTTTCACCCTTATAGTTCTGAAATATACAACTTGATCCATCACAAACATGCTAAATACAAACTTAGGTACCGTTTACCAAACGCTTACCCGGGTAAACGGTTACCAAGTCACTTTACTTTTTCCGAATGAATATGACAAGGACTAAGAATATTACCCGGTAATAACGAAGGCAATAATCTCAAGTCTTACCCAGTAAGTGAAGACGAGGACTCTTACCATGGTTAGCGCTTACCCGGATAAATTGTTGTATACAATGTGTTTTAGTGAATAAAATTTTGACCGGTAAGTAAACGATAGTGTTGAATTTTACCGGTAAGTGCTTACCGGGTAAGTGTTTAGGTAAACGGCCCCTTAGCTCTAGAAATATCGACATAAGGTTTTTTTTATCCAGACTTCCAAAACATATTTGTGAAGATGTTGGATATACGTATCTAAACTTTAGTTGGTTCACAGCAGTTTTTCCATGAAAAAAGTAATTCAAGTTGTTTTTATTTTTCGAATTTTGCTATAAAAAAGACACATAATTTGACTGGTTCTATTGAATGGGGTTTTCTATGACTTTTTTGTATAACTGATATCTGTTATGTCATATTAGTTTTTCATAAAATAATATGTATCATTTAAAATGAACAGACCAACGTATCAAAAGTCAATATTTTTGTAGTTAAATCTAACAAATAATTAAATTAAAAATCATGACGGAAAAAAGTTGTGAGTTGCGTTTGATGTTTTTGTTTGTTTCGCTTTTTATTATTAAATTATAATTTCCTTATTTTCAAACTCAATCATATTAAAATATGGTGACTCCAAACTATCTGCAAAGCAGGTGGTCATCCTAAGATTAGTCGGCTCACATAACGGGTTGGATATCCAGGTTAATAAAAAAAAAAGTGCAGCAATCGTCATTACATATTGTGGCTTAAGATCTATATCTCATGTTATATTAAGCTTCTAGCATGTTATGGTTTAATGGGTGGTTTTTGTAGTACGATATTTGTTATGTCTTACTTTTTTAACGTCGTATTTATTAGTTTTTAATATATAACTTAATTTAAATTGTTTCTTATCATTGAGTCGTTAACTAATATTGAAAAGAGTAAATTACACTTTTGTCTCCTATGGTTGTCACCTACTATCAACTATCGAACTGATTACAGTTTTGGTCACTGTCGTTGCTATTTTGTTTCATTTTTTGTCCCTCAAATTAACTTCTGTAAAATAGATCCATTTACTTAGGGATTTTTTGGTCTTTTTACTACAAAAAAAACCAGATCAACCCGACCAACATGATCAATCCAACCCAATCCGACGTGAATAACTAAACACAAAGCAATCGGATGTTTAATCGAGTTATAAAATCTTCAAACCGTAGGTATTGGTTGATATTGAGTTGTTCTTATTTGAACTCAACCCAACCTGATGAACCCGATATCCTTTTATTTCTTGGATTTAATATAATTGTCGAGTCTATTAATATATACATTAGACAATTACATCATCACGTACCCTCTCCGTATACATATATTTTCAATTCATTCTCCATCTTTTTATATGTCTAGAAATTTGTGAACATATATATGTATGTGTGTGTGTGTGTGCGCACACACACAAATTGAAAAAATTAATTGCATGTGATATACTTAAAATTTAAGAAATATTGATAAGTTGAATCAAATGATTGATGATGAAAAAGAAATTATGAGTATAATGGAGAAAACAACGTATTCAAGTATAAATCCGACCAACTCGTACGGTTTAGGTTGGGTTGGATTGGTTTAAGTCTATTCAAACCGCAAGTATTGGGTTAAACTGTTCAAATGTCTTCAACTCGATCAACTCAACTTATATGCACCATTTGGCACATCTCATGTCATTTAAAACATTGGTTTTATGTTAGGAAATAAGTTTTATGTAATTACTACAATTTTAAATTAACAAAAAGCAAATATACCAATTAAATCCATCTGATTAAAGTTATAACGCGTAAGTAGAATTTACTTTCAAACCACCAAGATACAGGTTAGAGTTTTTGAACGGATTTCGAGAAGATTAAAGAAAGGATCCATATAGTGGGGATCATGGATCGTTGAGCCAAATCTTTGTATTGTAGTTCTTTTGTGGGCTTTAACCTCTGCTTCGTGCATGTGTTTTGTCCTGCTTTTGTACGCGACTTTTTTTGTCCTTTTTACGTCTTGACTGTCTTTGGCCATGGTTTTTTCGTCTTTGTTCCCTCTTTTTTTCTCATCTCGTAGCTGTTTTTTCGAGGGGTTTTGATCTTTGAGTTTTTATTTGTTTTTAATGCATGCTGCCTTTAAAAAAATAGTATTATAAACACTTAGGAGTCGTTTACCAAACACTTATCCGGTAAGCGTTTACCGGTAAATTTAACACTATCATTTACTTACTCGGTAAACTTTTAGTCCACTAAAACGGTATCGTACACAACAATTTACCTGGTAAGCACTTACCATGGTAAGAGTCGTCGTCCTCACTTACCGGGTAAGACTCTTGGCTTTTGTCTCGTTCT